AGTTTCTGTAGCAGTGTTTATTTTACAGGATGGGGTTGCTAGCCTCATTCCCAACCTTTCCTCTTTACCAGCATTGTTTCTGGCTTAGCGAGGTAAAGGAATGCGTCCAGAGGCCGGGGATCGATCCCCGGACCATGTATGGTCGGCTAGCGTCCTAACCGCTATGCCACCGACGCAATCTTTAGAGTGATAAACAAATCAAAGTCCAGCTACATAGTGAAAGTATATATACTACGATGATGAATAATAAAATTGGTCCCTACACATTAACCCTTATCGATCAGTATTAACAATAAGTGAATCCAAAAAGGTGTTGGATCGATAAATTTCATTGTACAAGGTAAGTTGAGTGTTCGCCTCTTGGTTAGGTGACTAGGAGAATTGGGAATAGACCAGTGATCAATTGTATAAAGCATACAGCGAATAATTTCCCTTGACATTACAAGTGAAGTAAATTTCTTCTGAATTTCGGTAATATACATATCAATCATTTCTTAGGACCGTACAATATAAACTATCAGTGAATAGCACACGAACCATTTCACTTTATATATATATATATATATATATATATATATATATATATATATATATATATAAATTTTATTAGGATAGGAGGGATTTTGTTTGATGAGAATCTGATGAGTTTATTCGCATGAGCGTCTCATTTTACACTGACAGAGAAGCCAAGAATGCAACAGTTGAGAAGATATCGTGCTTCTGTATGTCAGGTAAACAGTATTTCCAAATTATATTCCGAATTTGGTATTAGGAATTATTTGACCTTCATTAGGTTCTCCTCAGGAGTTCAACTGCCTTTCTGAACTTATTTCACACCATGGTTTCCATCAATACATAGATTTTCAACTCATTTACGAGGATGCTGCTCTCTCTCTTCACTAGTTGTAAGTATTTACTGCGTTTGATGTAGAAACACCGGTAGGTATGCTTCAGTAGAAGAAAGGGTTTTCACTCACTGATGATGTTTACGAGCTTACTGTGTGTATTTGAAATATGAGTTGAAGGGAAAATGGATGTCAAAGCGTATACGGAAACAATGAAGTATTTACAAGGACGATAGGAATATATCAATGGTCAATCTGTCATAAGTAAAATTGAAGAAAGTGAATGAGTGACTGGGATATAGTTTACAAATGAGGGTTGCTTTATTCGTTATTATAGTCAGGATTCCTCTGTGAATAAAGTAGGATTTTAATGAGAATTACACGAGAAATCAGTGTGTAGAGGAGGTACACGAACACAAATCCAGAAATTCTACTTTCTCCGAAATACGATTTGGAAAACATGAAACTCAATGTAGCTGCTTGTGTTATGCGACTGTTTACTCAAGGTAGTTACAGCTCATGCAACTGGTCTTCTTTGACTTCGTCTTCGAAAACTAGTTATTCTCCAATTTTCTAAAGCAACGCCAACAGTGGTTTGTGCAGAATAATATGGTACCATCATTTATTTCGTTGGCTTCTTATCATCTGCTTACAGCCTAAATAAATTATGAGGTTTAAGTACAGAAAAGTTTTAACATACTTGCAAATTTTACATGTTGTCAGTTGGCAGAAAGTTCCACAACTGGTAAACAGTGCTCAGAAAATTGCGCTTATATAGTTTTTACACAGGCAGTTCAAGCTTAAGCAAAGTAAATGTATGCGTATAATGGTAAAGGAGTTACTAATAGAAATGAGATGTCCGTTAGATGCAGAGTGACTAATAAGTCAGGTAACAATGTACTGAGTTGAACTCAAATCATAGAAACAAGAGACAAGCAAAATTACAGATTATAAAAGGAGGGTGAGGTTAAAGACAAAGATTACGTAATCAGGTGCGAGAATAAAGATATCCAGTTACCAGGGCAAGGAAAGACTAATAACTGCTTCTTTCTGAACACATAAATCTGGTTTCAATCGTTTGATAGAAATTGCTTCGGCAAACTTGAGGAGAATGGAGCTCCTTTGTCTATTGATAATTTTGAAGGATTCTCGATTTCTACCTCATGACCCGTGTCGAGGAGATGTCTGGTAATAGCGCTACTATAAGAGTTTGTTCCCTTGATACGTAGGCTTTTTGGCACATGTTCAGAAATCGGAGGTGTGCTCTTCTTTCTGTTCTCCCAATGTAACTGCTCCCGCACATACACGTAAACTTGTATACACAGTTGGAGTTAACATGAGAAGGGTATTTATTGACTGCACCAAAGAGCATGTTGTTCGATGGACGGGAGCCAAGTTAGCTGCAGAATAGGCTCTGACTAGTGACGTTCTCAGTCTTCTGTTGACCATTTCTGCAATGTTTTCACCTTTAAAATCTAGATGAATGAAGACAGGCTTTTTTCAACTGTGATTTGTGTGGTATTTGAGCCTTCACATCTTCCATATTTGTTAGTGAATCATTGAGGATAACCGTTGTTTTTCAGCACCTTTTCGAGAATCGTAAATTCTTCCTCTAGTTTCTCTGCAGAGCATATTCGCCTCGCTCTATAGTACAGAGTCTTGACTAGTGCTCGTTTATAGCCATTTGGACAAAAACTATTAAAATGTAAGTATTGTCCATTCCATGTGGGGTTTCGGTAGATTGACCTCTGGAGATTACCATCTGCTAGGCGTTGCATGGCAACTTTTTTTCAACTGACAGCATGTGAAATTTGCAAGTATGTTAAAACTTTTCTGTACTTAAACCTCATAATTTATTTAGGCTGTAAGCAGATGATAAGAAGCCAACGAAATAAATGATGGTACCATATTATTCTGCACAAACCACTATTGTTCTTACTTTATTCAAATTCATCAAGGGTAATAAATGTATGAAATTTTTTTAAGTATGATATTATCTGTGTTGTAAAATCACAACAACTTGATCAAGAATACCATAAGAGAAATAACGTGTCAATTGCTTTTCACTCACCTTAAATTAGTAATGCCCCATTGATTCACTTGTTAATGTTCATGGAGATTTTAATTCCAAGATTCAGGTGAAAGCAACTGTCATGACAGTGAAATGAGAAGGATTATCATTTCTCTCAATATCTGATACAAGAGGTAAGTAATGTTACGAGAGTATTTTGACTGCCATTCAAGAGAGTATTTATTATCTGAGTGTATGGATGAGTAAACACTGATACATAAAGTGGTGACGCGTTTGAATGTGGAAGACGTACTTCACTTGTTTAGTGTTGATGCACTTTCGAAGAAATTATTGTTTTTACTCAGGTTTATTCGAAGAATGACATTTCAAGAGCAATATCTACTCTCTGTCATTTTTGACAAGATGATACTTTCTGTTTCCACATCTACGTTGAAATGAATGGTTAATAGAATAAAATGGCCGTCGTAGTAACCATGTATTTTTGAACGTATTCTATGAAATCAACGAATCAACACAAGTTATATAATCTTCAGATATACAAAGAACAAAATACTTTGAGACGATGAAAGTCTGAGTTAAAAAAAAGGAATCGTGGAAAACACCCATTTGAACATTAGAAAGAAGAGAACACGAAGTTCAGTAAAGATGGCGATCTTTTCGGCTATTTCATTTTCAAAAGCTATACAATCACATTTAAGTACATAATTTTACATGGATACAATTCTTGTTTGATTCCACATAATTACGACGGAGAATAAAAGGTGGTGATAATTATTTTCAACTAGATATGGTTTACGAGAGGCTTAGAAACGAAATTACACAGGATTAGAACGGATAACAAGTGTGTAAAATTGAGCATGGAAACAGGCTTAAAATAACTGTTTTTATAACTGAAAAAATGGGGTGAATCGAATGAAGACAGAGGGAGTAAGAATCACACACATTCAGCGAACGAAAAAAGATCAAAAAGGAAACAGAGAATGAAAGAAGAAAGAAAGAAGACGGTAGCTAAGGGAATATATTGAACTAGATCCATGGTAGTTGTTGAGGTTGGACTAATTTCTTTTGAACACACAGCTCCGGCTTCTCGATGCATATTGTGAGGGCTTCTGTAGAACAGAGAAGTCGGAAACATACTGCTTTTGGTAGGTTTCTGTTGACTTTTTTTTCTTTCATTCTCCTTTTGCTTTTTGATCCTTTTTCGTTCTCTGTATTTGTGTGATTCTTACTCCCTCTGTCTTCATTCGATTCACCCCATTTTTTCAGTTATAAAAACAGTTATTTTAAGCCTGTTTCCATGCTCAATTTTACACACTTGTTATCCGTTCTAATCCTGTGTAATTTCGTTTCTAAGCCTCTCGTAAACCATATCTAGTTGAAAATAATTATCACCACCTTTTATTCTCCGTCGTAATTATGTGGAATCAAACAAGAATTGTATCCATGTAAAATTATGTACTTAAATGTGATTGTATAGCTTTTGAAAATGAAATAGCCGAAAAGATCGCCATCTTTACTGAACTTCGTGTTCTCTTCTTACCAAAAAAAACGGAAATTTAATGTTATGTGTACTCTCATGCTGAATCTTCATCGTTATGTGGGCCTGTATGTGTGGGCTATACTTAAGATAGACCTCAAATAACTGCACTGACTAAACACTTCTCCACTTAATAACCTTATCATTAGTCTACATAGCGTGTAAGTACTGACTAACGAAATCAAAGTAAAAAGGCTTGAGACTCGAAGTGTGTTTTGAAGAGACTTGTATTTTAAACAAATGAAATATCAAGTTTAATAAATAAGGATGTTGTACAACTTATCTGATGCCTCAGCTAGGTAGTAAGCTCGAAGATTACGCTGAATGGTAGCACAACAAGGGAGCGAATCATGTATGTACAGTGTCAGGTCGAAAATCACAAAATGGCGTGACGCCAAAAGTGGATGAATGCGTTTAAACAAAAATTCAAACATTCAAGCTACACTACAGGTTCACGAGAACACATAGATATTTCTACGGATGAACTTTGATACTCTTTTTGGTTCTCATCTTTATCAAAAATAGAGAGAATCGTATATAATTTTCAAAAAAAGTGATTCTATAAGTTGCACTTCGAGCTTTTATACTTTTTTCATACAAATATGTACTTCTTACAACTTTTCGGAAATTTGTAACGTACACCATGATAATAGTAGTATTATTGAAATGAGAACTGACTGACTTATAATAAAACTTTTCTATGGAAACGCACAAAAATATACAAAGATCATTCTCGAGTATTTCAGCAAATTTAGAAGTCAGTTAATTGAAGTGGTCTGTTAATAATCATATACATGCATCGTTTGTGAAAACATCAATAAAATATTGAGACAGAAGACTGTGAGTTTATGAGCTTACCGTATGCTTACATTGTCATTAGATTATACGGATAGGCAATATCAGTGGATTTTAGAAACTTGTGTACATGCTTTAACGAACTACCTGGGAAGCATTGTTTCAAATACAGGCGAAACTGACGAGGATATCAAAGCAAGGATTGGGAAAACAAGGCAACCTTTAATCACTCTCAAGTCTGTCTGGAGGTTGACAGCAGTCAGCATGAAAAATAAGATCCGGATTTTCAACTCCAATGGGAAGTCAGTGCTACTTAATATACGGATCAGAGAATTGTCGCCTCGCCGCGTCACAAAGGCCACTTAGAACAAACTACACACCTTGATCAACAGCTGTCTTCGCTCAATACTCCGCTTATCATCAGATGGCCGGCCAGAAAAGGTCAGCAACACAGAGATCTCTGGAAGGAACCATTTGTGAAACAGATATGCAGGAAGAAATGGAGGTAGATTGGTCATACTCTGAGAAAACAAACCATCAAGTGACATCACAAGCCAGGCCAACGCTCGAGTGGAACCTGAACAGAAAGTGACGAGTTTGTCGTCAGTGGGAGCGTGGGATAACATAGAGGAGTTATGTGAATAGGCGATGAAAGCATGTGGGCAGACATGGAGCCAAGTGAAAATTTTGGCGGATAACGGAACGCAGTGGAGACGTGCGGCTGAAGCCCTATGTTCCTCTAGGAATTAAAGGAAACAATAATAATAATGATAAATGTGAAGTGAAGCATGAATTGCAGTTAGACGAATAATGAATTGAAATTACTAGGAGATACTGGGTACATGAACTATACACTAATATTTGTATTTCCCAGTGAGAGCATTTGATGGATTCTGTTTGTTTGATATGCACGCGTGCATAAATCCGTTACTTACAGGATCGACTCTTTTCAATGTTTCTATCAAAGTTTTGTTATGATTACCGGTAGAATAGCTTGTGTTACCTAAGCTATTTTGTATAACATAATCTGAATTATATATTTTCTTGTTGATGTGTAGATATTCCTCGTGGTGTGTAATTATAAAAAATTATTTTTGTGAGATATCAAATTTACTCACTGATTTATAGACTCGTGAAGCTGTCATCAATTTCTACCTGATGTCGTTACCTGCAGAAAGTGACCAGAAGGATTTAGGAGAGTAAGGCAGTATTTCACTACATTCATTTCCCTTTAAGCGACAGTGGTAATGATGGAGAGAAAATGTCATTTATAATAATGTCAACTGGAGTGGCTTGTGCGTAAGTCCTTGAAAATATACTTCTGCTTTGAGTTGTCCTTTTATACTGCACAATTCCAAGACACCTATGTAGATAATTGATATTCTCACTGTAATATACACTGAGAAAAACATCAGTTACAGACGATGGGCGATGTCTTTTTACTATACTTACATAGCGTCAAGCGAATTCTATTCAAAATTATAATAGAGATACAGATGAAATGTTATTAACTGAATAGTGTTTTAAGTGCAATGTGTTCCTCATAATCACATGAATGCACTCACGTAACTTCATGACTTGCTTTGTATACTGTTTTACTCCCCCCTCAGGATTTTTTACGTATATTTAATATAGATGTTCCGTCATCTCGATTGAAGGTTTAACTAAGCAGGATTAATCATCCTAGATTTAGCTTAATTCTTATATATTCCAATCTATCTATCTACTCGTTTGACATAAGCAACTGAATTCACCGCCATTATTATTTTATTCGGGAAAATATTTAAATCTATCGATTTCCTAGTAGACAGAGTTAGGCTCTGATTGGGTTGATTTAAGTGACACTTAGAGATATGTTGAAATGTCTACACGGTGCATGTGTTGTCCAGATATCACCACTAAAACCTGGCAGTGGGATTAAACGTTCTAAGAGCTTTACGTTCTCTACTGTTCATAAATATGTCTACTACTACTGGAAATATTAGTCACCTCATTTCCACCCCTTTTATTTGTGTGTGTATTTTGTTTTCAAATTTGAATACACTGAAGGTTAGAGAAAACTCAACACCTTATATCGTTTATTCAGACCAGACCTTAGTTTTGTTTATAAGTTCGTGATCAATGCTCACTTCGTTCCCATCTGCTTCTAAAGTTGCAATGATGGGGATATAATTGTTTAAAATAACTAGTCTCTTTTATAAATTCGGATAGCGTTATTAGAAGACGGAGATTATCTGAAAAATGTGATGTATATGCGATATACATTTCGAGCAATCTGATCACACATTTATTTGTCAAGCCGATATATACGAAAATGTTAAACTGAACAAAGTGAAAAAAAGATTTAAGAATGATTCATGGAAAATTCCCATTGTAACATATAGAAAATGAAAACAAGTATTTCAGAGAAGAGACTCTTTTCAACGATTTTATTATCAAGCTGTACAGTCGTATATATATGGTTTTTTAAGAAGTTATATCCGGTGAGGGAATTGAATCTTAGGTGTGAATGCATAAAATAACAATAATAATATTAATATAAAATGCAATTAAAACTAAAATGTTTGTGATTATAATCGTAGTTAAATATCAAGTGGCAAAGCAAATTAATGTCATATATATAAAATAATTCATAGGATGGATAGAACTTGAAAAAGGGTGTGCAATTATAGGATTAGTAGACAAATCGAATAAAACAAAAGACGTTACGTAATATTATGTGAAATTTAATAGCATAGAATGTAACGTTGTAAAAAAAAATTGATTTAGAATGACAAGTGGAACAAGTGAAATAATACTGGGGACAGTTCAACGTGAGAATAGTAATAGTAACAACTGACGTAATAAGGAAGAGTATACAAATTGAATAGACAAAATGAAAAGTGAAAAATTGGTAGAGCTGAAATAAGATTGGGGATTACCATACTTTAGCGTAGAGTGATTAAGACCATGAAAGTTGGAGGGGTTGAACGAACTTTTTCTGTACACAGAGATCTGGCTTTTCTGTTTCGATAGCCAAAGATGACTTCAGTAATACAGATGAGTCGGGTATGTAGGGATTTGGGTAAATTACTCTTTGCCTTGTGGATGACTTTAAAGGCGGAGCATTGAGTTTGTGGGTGTTTTAATTTCACTTTATTCCTGCCTTGTTAAGAATTCTCCGTAAGTTTTCTAAGGTTTCTTTTTTGTATGGAAGTACTACTGATGATTTATACTCCCTATTGTCGGTGTTGTCATTTTCCTGTCATTTTTGACATGCATGTCGTCATTAATATTATTAACACAAAGTTTGGTAATCCAACCAAATAAGGATTACTAAGATAGGTTAAGCATAATAATAAACTGTTTTCGAATACATAGGGGGGGGGGCTTAAGTTTATGAATAGCTACAGCCTAAGCGTATTTCAATAAGCGCTTTGACCGCTTTTATAGGTGACCTTAAGGGCTGAGTTAACATCAGTCTTATGGTTCATCTTGATTAGCTGTTTCGGCTATAGACGAGGTTGGTAGTCTGGCACCTGCATCTATTGGTTTATCACAATAAATTTGTTTTTCTAGTCATTTTAGGATATGCTCTCCCAGAGGCTATAGCTATTCATAAACTTAAGCCCCCCGTGTGTATTCAAAACAGTTTATTATTACGCCTAACCTACCGTGGTAATCCTTATTTAATTGGATTACCAAACTTTGTGTTAATCATTCCTAAATCCTTTTTTTCACTTTGTTCAGTTTAACATTTTCGTATATATCGGCTTGACAAATAAACGTGTGATCAGATTGCTCGAAATGTATATCGCATATACATCACATTTTTCAGATAATCTCCGTCTTCTAATAACGCTATCCGAGTATAATTTTATAAATTTATTAGGTTATATTAATATACCTGTAAAACTTGGACATTACGGTAGTATAGAATTTCATATTAGTTTACTTATTAGATATATCGCACAGTGAAACAGTATTATTTACTGCATGACGCTTCGAACAAACTTTATTGTTTATAACCATATCAATTATAATCACACGATTTCGGAACTGCCGTTTTATAGTTTTCTTTATTCTCTCCTATTGGTCGTCATAGGGGAAGTAGGATTCTCCAGATATCTGACTGGACAGGTGTTGAATTATTTCCATTACAAGTACCTGCAGTCGATTAGATCAACAAAGCTTCCGTTATCAATTTCTCCCTCCACCCTGTTGTTACATTAGATTTCAAAACTGTCATCTTATCCCATCTAGCCTATTGTATAGTTGTGTGTAACTACATGTAGTGAGTGGTATAACTGAACTATTCTGTACATTTCTAATCTTATTCGGGTCAACTAATCTAGACTTTGCTGGGTTTTTATGTTTGGCTAGTCTGACTGACGCCTATCCACTACTTTCACCTATGTGTTTGACCTGTCAATCACTCCAGCAGAGTATTAAATAAACTAAATTGTTTTGTTTTATTGGCTCCAAAAGATTGAGTTTGTGGGTGCTTTAATTTCACTTTATTCCTGCCTTGTTAAGAATTCTCCGTAAGTTTTCTAAGGTTTCTTCTTTGTATGGAGGTACTACTGATGATTTATACTCCCTATTGTCGGTGTTGTCATTTTCCTGTCATTTTTGACATGCGTGTCATCATTAATGTTATTATTATCACTACTATTATTATTTAATATGAATTTTTGAACAATATACAACTGCTAAGAGATTTAATTATTTTCCGTTATCGTATTATCTAACTGACATTATCTGAACTGTCTTGGATTGGACTATGTCACAATGACAGTGTCAGCTGACTGAATGGTGAAAAGTGTAATAAGAATGAATTTTGTCAGGTTTAGCTGTCCTAAGACAAACTGATTTATTTTCAATTCTAATGAATACATTTATGTTACATTTTGCCTATTCATTTTAGCTTGCTTGCTCTTATTTTGCACGTGTGCTTAGTAAATATTCAAAAATTGAGAGCGATACCTGGAGTTAATGTACTGACGATGCTGTTAGTAGTAAGTTATGATTTCAAAAACTTTTTTCAAAATATATAATAAGTTTGGTGAGTGATTGATTCTTATTTCCTACTGTACATCAGTGATTTTGATATCATAAACTAATTATAGCATCAAATCAAGTATTGTGTCTTCCAGGATACTGCGAAAATCATGATCGGTGCACTCCAAGTGCATTTTTACAGTTCCTAAGAATATCGTCTGAACCTTCTGTCATTGTGCCTTGTAATCGACTTCGTTGGAGGTCAATACTAAAAAGTGATAAGGCAAAAAGATGAAATTAATGATGGTGAAGGCGAATCGTGATGGGATTGAAAGCTGGCATTGGTTTAAAAGGATAAAATAGTGTGTTCACCACACGTAAATAAAAACTGCAATCAAAGCAATCGAGGAATCTACTTATCTGATATTCTTAAAAAAATTACTAAAATGTGGAAATCTCCATGCATCACCGATGAAAATACAAATCCCTATGTGATAACTAAACCTAGAGACATCACCTGGTAATTTCGAGAAGACACAAATATAGATAGTTATAACCGTAAATTCATGTGGGTTGCAGTTCAAGTCATTCCTCACTTCCCTCAAGATGGATATTATCGCAATCTCTTCATAAAATTCAATTTAGTTGACAAGCACTCCTATTCACTGCGTGGTAAATGAACGACAGATTTCGAGGATGCTGTTAGCAGTGAAATATCGTGAAATAAATGACTGCAATCCATGTTTGTAAGGCTGTACTTATGAAACGCTTATATATCCTGTTTTTATTATTTCATGACTTTATTTCTTAGATAATATTGTGGTCAGGAGTCACTGCTATATACGCTTACAAAGTCAACTTAATTTGCAAATTGATTGCACTTGCTATAACAGCTTTTGTGGGAATTATAGCAATCATTGTTGGATTCACAACGAGACCATTGTCAGACAGAGGATATTTTGTGCTATACATGATATCTATGGTATTAATCCTGATAGGATTTGTCTTCTTCATTATTTTTCAAATATTCAAAGTGAGTATTTCACTTATCGAGTGAATTTTAAGTTATTTTATATACTCTTGCGTTTGAATGTAGTTGTGTTGTTTCAGCTAAATAGTTTATTTGCGAAGCTTTCATTGACCTACTAGGAAACATATTCAGCGCATACTTCAATTTGAAATGAAGTGAGCTTTCAGATTTCTCCACGAGTTTATTTGTCATCTGTCCTGATGGGTGACCTTGAGTGTGATTGGTTGTGTGTGTTTTGTGTGTTTTCACACCCTCTAGGCTACTTGTATTGGGACTTCCAAAGAAAGCACACAGAAAATCGCCCTACCATATGTAAAGGACATCACAGAAATCTTTGCAAGACTCTTCAAACCTTTACAAATTGACGTCGCACACAAATCAACAAAATCCCTTCACTCAGCTGGCTCTATGTCAACCGAAAGACTCAACAACACAAGAAGACAAAAATAAATTCTAGCAACTGCGAGAAACACTACATTGGCCAAAGTGGGCGCCCCCTTCGTCTTTGTATCCATGATCACAAACTACTCGTCAAGAGACATGACATCCACTCTCTCATATCGCTGCATACAGACAACCACGGACACCAATTTGACTAGGACAACGTTCAAATATTAGACAGAGGAAACACCAAGAATGCTAGAGAATTTCTAGAGGCCTGGTATTCTAATGAGTCGTCAATCAACCGACACATTGAAACAGACAAAATTAACCAATCGATAAGAAGGAAATCTTACACAGAAAGGGTCAAAATTCAAGTCAAGGAAACAATCAGTTTCAATACAAGTAGCCTAGAAGGTGTGAAAACACACAAAACACACACAGCCAATCACACTAAAGGTCATGCATCAGGAGAGATGACAAATAGACTCATGGAGAAATCTAAAAGCTCACTTCAATTCAAATTGAAGTATGCACTGAAGATGTTTCCTAGTAGGCCAATGAAAGCTTCGCAAATCAACTATTCAGCTCAGAGAACACAGCCGCATCAAAATCATCCACCTGAGCTGCGAATCTTCTCCATCATATACTCTTGCATGCTAATTTATCTGAAAAGTTTCTCGAAGTTTCAGTGTTGCGTAGCTGCTGGTGGTGTTGTTTAAAAACACGATATAACAATGAGTGAAAATTCAGGACATGGAAGTCACGACACTTATCTATTTCTGTTTGAAAATGAAGTGAGTGATTTTCACACTTCCAGTGAGGAAACGTCGGTGTACAGTAGTTCTACACTCCTCGATGCTACAGTAACCTCTCCATCCAGTTTATGATATCGTACCTCTCCTTTGTAATAATCTGTGATAATACACAAAAATAAGTGTTAATATTAGAAGAATACTTGGCGAAAACAGTTTCTCATCGACTGTCTCGCTGCCTAATAACCTTATATAAATCAACTGTTTATCGGAAGATAACGTTATTCCAATGGCTTGTTTGTTATCAATAATTTACATCGTACGACTTGCGTTGTCAGTAATCTTGCTTCTAATCAACTGACTATGAGTAAAATATCAGTGTGAACTGAAAATTGTTTGTTTTTTTGTTTCATTTCAGTATCCATACAATCTAGTATGTTGCGGATTCGTCGTCATTGGAGAGGCGCTTGTAAGTTTCACTGAAATGTCAAATAAAGTATAATTATATTTTAATAGTTTACACACAATGATAAGTTTTGTTATTGGTTCACTGAAATGTTTTCAGAAGTTATTGAATTGTAAGACACGATGTAAGCAAGCAAATAGGTATTTTCGGCAAATTCTCATCAGGTTTTACCGTTACATGATAAAATATCAGTTGGAGACATTTAGAACAATGTGAATCAGTAGAATGAGATATAATCAAGTAGAATTTTAGTAGGGTAATAACAATAAATTGGGAAACTAAGATTAAAATGCATAACTATAACAAAGTATGATGTTGACAATGAGGTAAGCAGTACAAATAAAAATAACATTTAAAATTATCCAGTGTCATTGGGCGAGATAACCATTTTGGGTTGGGGGTGAATAGCATGGGAGTGAGGTGAGTTGAACAAACTTTTCCTGAACACAGAGATTGGGATGAGATTTTTTTTTTAAGGCAAGTGTTTCATATATGTTTAGCAGATGAAGGCGTATAAACGTAGGGAATTGGGGTGGCATCTTGTATAGAGATGAATGAAGGCTGAATTTTTATCCGTTTTATCCTCGGTATCCACGGGTGTACCAATGTGGAACTCCTGACTGACTTGACGAATTCCTTACCTAAGCACATTGAACGATGTTGAGGATGGCGATGGTGGGTGGGTTTTAAAAGTTGTCGTAATTATGTAACTGTCTCTACAAGAACAGTTAAATTTGACATAAGTATAAAACTTGGGCATTGTGGTAGAGTATAACTCCATTATGGATAAGATTTTATTTTGATAAATCACACAGGATTGTACAGTAATATTAACTGATGACGTTTCGAGCGCAAATTATGTGAGTGACTTGATATGAATATGAGCAATAATAGTTTGTGCTCGAAATGTCATCAGTTAATATTACTGTACAACGCTGTGTGATTTATTAAAATAAAATCTTATCCATAACAGTTAAATTTATAGGTGTATGTTGAAGTGGCCGGAGTCGTTAGCTTATCCCTCATCTTCGTTGAAAGTATACAACGACTAGTGAATTTTAAACATGGTGTTGTGGTAAAGAATGTTTGGCTATTTCTTTTTATGAGTTTCCATGCCAGTACTTCAGTGGCGGTGCAATCGTATACATATGTTTCTTCTGCACAGTTTGCAGGCATTTCTGTCTATCGGTTTCATCATGAAGACTAACGAAATTTTCTGGATATCCATCGTCATATAATGAATTTTCTGTTTTTCTTATGTCATGGTCAAGAATGTCGGTTGTGTAGACGTTTCCGGCATGAGCCATCAGAGTACTGATGAGATTTTGTTCGTATGCAAGAGGAACAAACGACCTGAAATAGGTGTACTGCTAAACATATGATTATTTCTGGAAAATACCTCAATTCATGCCTCTATCTAGCTTTCGTATTAGCAAAACATTAAGAAATAACAATGTCTTTCTCTGCTGTGCATGTGAACTCAATTTATGGGTGGGGTATATTGAACATTTTCAGGAGAGTATCGGTATCAATTTTGTTCTTATGCGGGATAAAAATATTACAGATTTATCTACATCAGGATGGGAGTTCGTTGATGGTTCTCTAATTTAGCCATAAATACATCCGCCAAGAGAGGACCGGGGGGAGTTGGGAAGCTCATTGCTTTGTTCTCGAATCGATGATAGATTTTGTTGTTAGACTGAAGCCTCACATTCATTGTATAACGGAGTACCAGTTCTTGTAGAGGCTGGGTGGTATACCCGCTTGTATATCATTTTCTATCAGAGATTCACAGATGAAATCGATAGTCTTTAATAAAGGGACATTGGTGCGCAGGGAGTTGACATCTATAGATTATACTGATCATCATTGATCTTTTTATCTCTTATTAATTCTAAGATTTGAAAGCGTCCTTTAAGCTACACATAGCCACTTCTAGCTACAGTGGTTTAAGTATGTCTACCAGCCGACTAACTATATCATGGAATGGTCCCTTTGGCACGTTGGAGAATGAATTTCAGGTAGCCCAGAAAATTTGAGTATATTTCTTCCTAAAGGTTTTAACGTTTGATAATTTGGGGGAGACACTATATGACTGGATATCAAAAAATTCTTTTTCCACCTCGTCTGCATTATCCCTACGGCTAGGTATTTCTTGTAATTTTGTATTATCCTATAGAATACTGTTCATCTTATCGATGTAGTTAGCTCTTTTTAACTATACGACTCCAGCTTCTCATCCAAATTGGATTCTCTTTAAGCCTTCCATATAAGCCTTGCTGAGGATACTTCTCTCAATACGCCTTTTTGATTGATATCGGTGAAAATTTCTAACCAGAGAGGACTTGAGTTCTTTCAGTGGTAACTGAGATTATCAGACTAAGTCATTTATTTGACTGAAATGGTTTTCAAACTGTAATTCAGCTTTTATTCTTGTCAGGTGGTGTACAACATCACAAAACTTTGAACCTAAAGACAATCGTTCTAGTGTTAACTGTATATGGATACCATTTACTTGTTCTCAGCATTGTCAGTTAGCTGCCTTCACTCGATGTTTGTTTTCCACTTTCTGATGGAATTATAATATGTCTCAGTTGTAAATAAAGTAACATATAGAGTGTATGAAGGTGACAAAATACTCTAGCAAGCTCTGGTCATGAGTCTGCTGCTCATCCGAAACACTTCTAAGCCCTGCTCAACCTACAGTAAGACCTGTGAAGATGGAAGGTTAAGCATGAGGCTAGGCAGTGACACTTGTGAAAGTCAAAAGCTCCAGCTTGAAATCCTACATCCCACTTAGAATTCAAAGGAATGGAAAAAAGCCTATCGAGTGACGTCTGTGAAGAAACAGTGATAATTACAGAGTGATTAGAGAAGTCACTGAAGAAGGAGAGCAATAGCCAATGGACAGCGATAGATAAAATAACACGGTATGAATAATATCATTTGATGAACTGTGAACTTAACATAAGGATTGCGATATTTAAGAGTTGTTTTGCAGGGATTTGGTTGCTTACAGGATTTCATCATTAGCTGACATTGGTTAAAGAACCATTGGAAAACCTGTAGGGTGTACTGGAAAGCTGTTTGAGACTCTTCACTAGCGACTTGCTCTATTCAGGTAAGTAGTTACCTGGGGTTCTAGTGAGAAGTCGTGATCAGTAGGGTGCAGCAGGTCGGGTGTGAGGACAAATACTTGCCGAAGACATTGGCCATGGATCGCTCTAGGTCATGAATTGGCAGAAGTTAGAATTCATGGGCCATTGGATGTGGGGGGGGTCCCAGTGGCTTAATGTTATACGAGCTCGCCTTGTAACCAGAAGGTCCTGGGCTCGAACCCTGTCGATGAGTGAGTACTGTTGAAGAGTCCCAAACTAGGCCGAAACAACTGTCAGTACTCCCAGCTGGTTTTCCAATGGTTTTTTAACTAATGTCAGCTCATGATGAAATCCTATAAGTATTGCGACTTTCTTAGTATATATCGTATTTTCTCTAAATGGTCATTAGCTCCACCTCCAGAAGTCTTCTACTGTTCATTGTTCCGATATTCACATAGATTTAATTCATTCATTATATATCTATAAGGCGCCAGCCTAATATCTGTTCTGTGTATCTGCATAATACTCCCTAGGTGATATACTATAATTCATCATGGCTGAGATACACTCCAGACACAACAATGAAATCAGTGATTTTTATAATCTACCTGGAATGCTTCTACTTAATAGGACTATTTTTTACAGTTGTCAGCTGTGAAGACGAAACAATATGCGATAAACTCGCTAACATATCCAAAAATCAGTCAGAGTTAGTCGTCCAGTGAATGTATGAAAAATTAAAGTTTTAATGTGTGTAACGATTTATGTCTTTAATGAATTTTACTATATTGAAACACTACTAATTTATTCCGCTTATCTGACACATATCACGACGTATCACGACATACGTAGAATAAAATGACTATCACGTTATCTACATTATGGCATTACCTTATTTCGATATGATTCTAAAAAGTGTTGATCAGTGTTCTTGATTATTATTATTGGATGAGAACTTATGTTTGATTTTGATAGTTTAAAGATAAAATTCTTATAATATGAATCATATATTTAAATAAATAAACGTATTAATTCACGAATGATCTTTGCTTATATGTTTGCAGCTATAGTTCTATTATTACAGGTTACACATTTAGCATTGATCTTCTTCAGGATGTTCATTACAAGAAGTAATTACTTTGTCGAGAACACTAAGAAAACATCTTCGTCAACCACCACATCCCCATCTACATGCGCACCGTAAGGCGCATGCAACTTCTCTTTGTTCTCTTCATTATCACGTCAATTGTTGCCCAGACAACTCTGTTGACAATCACGAAAATGTGAACCTGCTCTCCTGATTACCTGGGAACACTGGACTGAAATCAGTTTCCCAGTTGATAAAAATACCATGGAAGATGTATTGAGAGGGTCTGTTTCATCAAAGTGTTCATTTTCTTAGCATCATTAGTGATCCACAACGGAAAACTCAGCGAGGCATTTGGAGGAAACACAAGAGTCAGACAAGGGTGCTGGCTTATTATCACCAATGATATTCCTAATTGTGGTGGATTGGATTATGCGTCAGAGAGTGCAGTGGGAAACGAGAAGACAGGGATATCCTGGACCGACCGACGTGAAGAACGTCTTTAAATAATCTTTTAACCGGTAAACTTTTCTACTGGATCTAAATGTGGTTTGTAAACTTTGATGATTGATGTACTATTTATCCTGTTGCATGTAATTTTTTATCACTCTGTTTATGTGTTCAGAGATAGGTAGTAACTGTTTTCAATGGCTAAACTCATTGCAACTATCTTCAAGGGAATCCGGTGGAATAGAAATGATGGAGAAGATTTGTAGCTCAGGTGGGTGATTTCGATGCGACTGTGTTCTTTGAGTTGGATAGTTGATTTGCAAAGCTTTCACTCACCTACTAGGAAACATCTTCAGCGCATACTTCATTTTAAATTGATGTGAGCTTTTAGATTTCCCCACAAGTTTATTCATCATCTCCCATAGTGACCTTGAGCGTGATTGGTTGTTTTTGTGTGTTTTATGTGATTTCACACTATGTAGGCTACTTGTATTGGGGGGGGGAAGGTAAATAAAAAGGAAATCTCACACAAAAAGGGTCAAAATTCAAGTCAATGAAACAATCAGCATTGAGGGTAATACTTGTGGTCTAGAGGGTGTTAAACCACACAACCAATCACGTTCAAGGTCACCCATCAGGAGAGATGACGAATAAACTCGTTGAGAAATCTAAAAGCTCACTTCAATTGAAATTGAAGTATGCTCTGAAGATGTTTCCCAACAGGTCAAATATACTATTCAGCTGAGAGAACACAACTACATGAAAATTCGGTGGAATAATTTGTAACTGAACTTTCAATTAGTTGATCCAAACGTCAGAGTTTTTCATAATATGCAAAAGCCATATGATTTGTCTAAGATATTGGAATTATATTACACATAAATACGATAAGTAGAATATACAAACTTTGAATTTTTAAGTGTCTAGGCTGTATGCTGTCAAATGCAGTTTCACTGAGTGTCAATAGGAAAAAGCAGGGAAGCTGTGTCAATGATGATCGTCCCTTTCAAAGACACATTTCGCGAATATTCAGGTCGAAAAAGAAGAGAGCATAATAAAAACTGTATTCAACAGAGAGTAGAAAATAAAGAAAAAGTACAAAACAAATATCCTTCAACGTCGGAAGATACTTACGTCAGACTGGAAAGACTAATTTTGCAGTAGTTACACTAGATTCCAATGGGAATCAATAACTACGATTACGGAATGATGAAATGATGAATGCCATAGAAACATTATGCATGCCAGTAATAAGTAGTATAAGGCTGAAGACAAATGAAAAATTAATAGAGAATAGATTAGGCATGAAGTGATACATATCGTCCTCCAAAAACGCCATCTTAACTAAATGATTACTTAGAGGGTCTGCCTTAAGTGATCTTCCTATGGTAATGATGATTCTTCAGAGTAGTCGTTATTATTATTTCCTTTAATTCCTAGATGAACATATGGCTTCAGCTGCTCGTCTCCATTGCGTTCGGATCTCTGCTAGAGTTTTCACCTGGCTCCACATCTGCCCACATACTTTCATCTCCTCTTCAGATGACCTCCTCTATGTCACCCTCGCACTGACGACCAACTAACTCGCCAATTCCAATTCGTGTTCCACTCGAACGATGGCCTGTCCTGTAATGTCACTTGATGGTTTGTTTTCTCAGAGTATGGCCAATCTATCCCCATTTCTTCCTGCATATTTGTTTCACAATCGTTCCTGGTTGGTTCGCTCCCAGCGATCCCTATTGCTAATCTTTTCTGGCCCGCCAATTGATCTTGAGTATTGAGCGAAGACAGCTGTTGATTAAAGTCTGTAGTTTGTTTGATGTGCTCTTTATGACGCGCCAAGTCTCTGATCCGTATATTAAGTGGCACTGAGTTCACGTTGGACTTGAAAATCCGATCTTATTTTTGATTCTGAGTGCTGTTGACCTCCACAAAAACTTGGGAGTAATGAAGGCTTGTATTGCTTTTCCGACCTTGCTTTGATATCCTCGTCAGTTCCGCCTGTAGTTGAAACGATGCTTCCCAGGTAGGTAGGTTGGTGAAGGAGGTTGTTTCTTTCAGGTTCCTCTCATTTATGCTATTGTTATCTGTTGTTGTTAACCTCGCCAGATACTAGCTTGCTAGGCTACTAGCTTACTAGTTTTCTCGCCGGTCCCAAGCCCGGGTAAAGAGGGAGGGTTGGGGCGTGGTGCTAGCAACTCCACCCCTGTAAAACAACCAAATCGCTACAGAAACTTCAACGAATAAATATATTAAAAATTCTAAAAACATAAGCAATAGCCTTACTTTTCGCTGGAATCGGGGAAGTGAAATGACGCAGGCTGGTGAAAGCCTTCGGGAAGCCAGTCAGCCGATGTGCCTTCTTTCGATGAAAGCAAAAGTAAGGATGGGTACCTGGAATGTTCGTACAATGTACGAAACTGGAAAGGCTGCCCAGATAGCCGCTGAAATGAGAAGGTACAGAATAGAAGTGTTGGGAATCTGCGAGAGCAGATGGAACGGAACTGGAAGGTGCCAACTACCTACTGGAGAGACAGTAATCTATTCCGGCCACCTAGAGGACAACCATGAGCACACCGAGGGAGTGGCCATCATGATGTCACCAACAGCAGCCAAAGCTCTCATGCAGTGGGAACCAATCTCCTCCAGGATAATGACAGCCAGGTTCAACTCAAAAGGAAGGAAAGTTACAGTCATTCAATGCTATGCGCCTACAAACGTCTCAGAACAAGAGAAGAAGGAGGCGTTCTACAGACAACTACAAGCAATAATGGACAACGTCCCAAATGGCGATATCAAAATCCTGATGGGCGACATGAATGCGAAGCTGGGAGGAGACAACACAGGAAGAGAACTCACCATGGGTCGTGAGGCCCTCGGCGAAATGAACGACAATGGTGAACTCTTCTCAGACTTCTGCGCCTTCAATGATTTGGTGATTGGTGGTAGTGTGTTCAAACACAAGGATATACACAAGACGACATGGATTTCACCAGATGGAAACACCAAGAACCAAATAGACTTCATCTCAATTTCAAGAAAGTGGAGACGGAGCCTACTGGACACAAGGTCAAAAGGAGGAGCAGATGTGGGTTCAGACCACTATCTAGTAGAAGGGACTTTCAAGGTGAAACTAAAAGCCTCGAGGATAGCTGGGGATAGGCCACAATGCAAGTTCAACACTCAATTACTGAAGGACACAACCACAAAAGACACCTTCACTGCAACTGTCAGAGCAAAGCAGGAAACACTACGCGACAGCACTGAAGAATCATGCGTGGAAGAACATTGGAAGTCTCTGAAGGCGATTCTCAACGAAACGTGTTCAACGGTTCTAGGAAGAAAGAAGAGACAAGACAAGGAATGGCTCTCAACGGACACTTGGAAATTAATAGAAGAGAGGAGAATGGTGAAAGAGAAAATGATTCAATGCAAGGACGGACAGGAGAAGGAGACGATGAGCTCAACTTACAAAGCATTGGACAAAGAAGTGAAGAAGAGTGCTAGGAAGGACAAAAGACGATTCTACGACAATCTAGCTACTGAAGCTGAAAAGGCAGCAGGCAAAAGGGACCTGAGGACACTATATCAGATAACCAAATCTCTATCCGGGAAGAGACCAACACAAGCGAAACCTATAAAAGACAGCCAAGGGAACCCATTACCAAGGAAGAAAAACAGATTAAACAATGGGCGGATCACTTCAAAGGACTCTTGAACCGACCACCACCTGCAACCCGTCCAGAAATACCAACAACAGCGCGCACACAACTGCAAGTTGACACCAATCCTCCAACGAGAGCTGAAGTCTTGAACGCAATCAAACTTCTGAAAGCTGGAAAAACAGCCGGACCAGATGGAATACCCCCTGAAGCACTGAAAGCAGACCCAGAGACGACAGCAGACATGCTGACTCCATTATTGCAAAAGGTCTGGAAGGAGGGAAAGGTGCCTACTGACTGGAGGAAAGGTTACCTCGTGAAACTACCAAAGAAGGGCGACTTAGGACTCTGCAAGAACTGGCGAGGAATCATGCTCCTATCGACGCCAAGTAAAATCCTGAGTCGCATCATCCTGGAGAGATTAAAGGACGCACTGGAGACAGAACTCCGACCAGAACAAGCTGGATTCAGGAAAGGCAAATCATGTACTGACCAAATTGCAACTCTACGCATCATCATCGAACAAAGCATGGAATGGCAATCAAACCTCTACCTCAACTTTATAGACTTTGAGAAGGCCTTCGACAGCGTTGACCGTGAAGTAATTTGGAAATTACTCGAGTACTATGGCGTACCCCAAATATTCATCAACCTTATTCAACAGCTGTACGACAACGGCACCTGCCAAGTGATCCACAACGGAAGACTCAGCGAGGCGTTTGGAGTAAACACAGGAGTCAGACAAGGGTGCTTATTATCACCAATGATATTCCTAATTGTGGTGGACTGGATTATGCGTCAGACTGTGGGAAACGAGAAGACAGGAATATCCTGG